GCGGCGGCGGGGAGCCAGATCTGGCCCCAACGCACGGCAGCAAGGTGACCGCGGCTGACCCCGGCGGCGGAGGGGGCGGTGGGGTGCTGATAGAGGAGGTGGCCGTGGCGACGGCAGTGGAGGGGTACGACACGGGCGGCAGCAATGACCGCGCCATGTGCTTGTGCACTCCTGCGCGCGGGTGTGGAGAGGAGGGGGGCGTGGACGCAAGGAGGGGAAGGGAGGGGGCAGGGTGAGGGCGGCGGCGACGGCGAGGAGGCAGCCAGGGGCTCCTAGGGTTGGGTGGGGAATGGAGTCGTCATGTCTCTTTTTCTGAATCAGTGTAGTGGCACGCTAGTCTCTTGTAATTTTCTTATTTTTCCCTAGCTGTACGTACCACCGAAACAAATTAAGTAGGCTGCAAAAGGACTAGGTACAAAATGATTTACGTAGCAGGGATTGCTGCCACAGGTACAACTAACCACCCTAGGGAAAGAACCCATTATGGGCTTGGTGCATGTTAGTTTTGCCTGTTCGCTTGGCTGCGGCTGCAACTTCTAAAGTGCTAAACACTGCTACAGCTGCAACTTTCTAACTAAAACAATCGCAGCCGCAACCGCTTTCTCCAACCGGTACCAGCAGCCAGGATGTTCAAAACAGTTTGCCACAAACTGCCTAAGGTGCACAATTGTTTGGACACCCCTACGCTACTACATAAACTGTATTTGGAGGGGGCCTTTTCCCCCTAACAAGTCACAAGGGCAGCCGGGCAGGTGTATATACTCTTGAAGTTACTCCCAAGCCCCATGTCACACAGAGTTCATATACAGTATACTGTATGTTACAATATCCCAGTCTCCCAGATACACAGAAAGAATCTCTCGAAGTTACTCCCATGTCATCACACATTGAAACACGCACCCTCGAGGCTGTTCTTGTTTCTCCCCTCATAAATGGCCAGCATGTCCTTACCTTCGTCATCCTTACAGCAAATATGACACGTTCTATCATTAAAATTGGTAGAGATGCAAATTTTGTGGCTGACAATCTCGCAAAGAAAGCAAGGCGGACTATAGTTCCTAGTTCTTGCTTGTTCTCTTGCGAGTCTTGGACTCATTCTACAAATTGTACTATCCACATGGCTCTGGAAAACTTTCAATGGGGCAATTTTTGCCCCATATCTGTATCTTGTATTTTAAGCTTTGAATGAAATTACCATTTCCAAAAAAAAAAAATCAGCCATTCAGAGTTTCACGAGTCAAGACCATTGTGAAAGAAATACGGAGATACCCAGTTTAGTCACAATATATATATATATATATATAGATATATATATATATATCCCAAAAGATACTGTCGAAGCATCCAAAGTATTCCCACTAGTCATGTAATTCAGCTATGATACATTCTTACAAGTTCACACATAACATAAGAACAGGCCTACACAGTCAATTCTGATCTTGAGATAAGAATGCCATCAGAATCGGCACAGAGCCATTCTCCATCGCAAATTCTAGTCCCTGCAAAGGTCACAGCAGCATGCTTCTCACCGACGCCCTTCTTGTTTGACTTGATAGGGTGTGAGTTCAGAGCCCGGACGCCAATGTCACAACCATTTATCTCATCGACGTCCCTGATGCAGCCATTGACCACGACACCAGCCCACCCGTTGTTCTGCGCCAGCTGGGCAAGGTTGCCACCCAAAACTGCACAGCGCATGCTCCCACCGGCATCAACCACCAGGACCCTGCCGTGACCTTTCTCCTCAAGGAACTCACGGAGCAGAACGTTATCCTCGAAGATCTTCAGCGTCACAACAGGGCCAGCAAAAATCTGCCGCCTTCCATAGATTTGGAAGATAGGTTGGAGAGCACGAAGATCACCATTCATAATTAGAGCAGCATTAGCATCACATGCTTCAGCAGTGGCCAATGGCAAGGCAGCCATCTTATCTTCAGTCCTGCTTGTCATCAGAAGAAGAAAAGAGAAAAATCAAGGAACAGTACAGATAAGCAGTAGATAATTCTTTACACAGAGCAACACAGCAAGTTGCCCAGTCCAATGATATGCACATCTATACTAAGAAAACTTGAATTATTAACGGTTTCCATGTATACATCTGGTTTTCCCATTGTTTAAAGTACCAAACTGCCACAGACCAAATCTTGCCAAAGAGAAGTTCAGTCTTCCATGAAGAAACAACATGAACCAGCAAACATGCCTCAACTACCACAGAGCACAACTAGTAAAAAATCATGCCAAGGAGAGTTCAGTCTCCATGAAGAACATGAACCAGCAAACAAGCCTCAAACTCAGGAACACAATAATATCTGCTTCTATAGCAGAAGAGAAGACAACTGAAAAAACAATCATGTTATCTGATACAAAATTTCGCTCTAATTCTATACACAACATGGACACTGTTTGCCTCTGCTGAGGTTCTGTAACAACATCCAGCCCAGATTTTCACGCAGAGCTATATTTGCTCAAAACACAAAATGAAATGTTCGCCTGAGCTCAAAACCAGAAGCTAATAGCACTCTAGGAGAGTCATAGTGCGAATGCGATGCAACGTCTCAGTAGTGTTTGATTTGGACCAGAACTAAGTTTTTCTGCAAGGCAAAAACCCCTCGTCCTGCAGTGGAAACTGCAAGGAAAAGAACTAAGTATGTAATGAACTATTGGTCGCAACAATATAAAAAGCCTTCCGCTGCAAATAAATATTGAATAGACTGAGCTATGTGTTTTTTTACCAATACTAGTAATGTCAACATATCAGAGGCTGCTGACCATGTAACAATACATATATGGTTGCAGTGGAGATTTTGTCAAGCAGACTAAGCAGCATAACAGGATTAACATTGAACAATACGTATTGTGCGCATTCACATTGTCATATAGTACAGCATGACTTACAAAAAGGGGGATGATTACAAGTTATCAACCCATGTGAAATCATTGTTTCGACTTTCGAGTGTGTATTGATTCCAGAAGATGTAACAATGTAATTTAAGAATCGAACCTATGTCAGTTGTCACATAGGGTGAGAAAAGGCCACAGGGTATATGAAATGGACTGATGTCAATGAATATAAAAGGCAGTTTTCTCAATGTTCAGGAAAAAAAAAGTTTTTTTTGGGTGGATTGGGGGAGTAGAGGAGGGGAGGTTGGCCTGGGACCGGAAGCGATGTTGGTGGGCATAATACATAGTACATGTACATGTAATTGGGTCAGATCCGGATACAAGTAGCTTAAATTTGGGTGGTCGTTTTGAAAAGCATGGAGGAAAGAGAAACGGCGAGCATACCTGGTGCCGGGGAAGGGGCAGACGAAGAGCTGGCAAAGGGCGGTGCCGGTCGCTAGCGGAGGGGCCGACGAAGACCTGGCAAAGGGCGTTGCCAGTCGCCGGCGAAGGGGCCAACGAAAACCTAGCGAAGGCTGTCGACGCTCGCCCGCCAAGGAAGGTAGAGAGAGAGAGAGAGAGAGGGGTGAACGGGAGTACGAAACGAAGGATAAAAGAGTCGTGGACGCAACAGAACAGTCAGCCACGCGTATTACTGTTTTTCTTTTTAAAAAAAACATGAGTTCTTTTTTTTCTCGAACAACGCGAATAGGTGCGGAAGCTGGGAGTTGGCTCCACAGAACCATCGAAAAAAAACAACGTATCTGGAAAATCGTCAAGCCGGCGCAGCTCCTGATCGCCAACGACGTTCAAGGCATCCAGGTGTGGTTGTCCTCCCACTCACTCCCCATCGTTGCTACACTTTGCTCGTCCGCGGGGCCATGGGCCGCCTCGCGCCTGCGTCTGGAGCTCTCCGCTTGTCGCCGCTGCGTGTAGTCTAGGTGTTTGATGAAATGCCCATGCAAGCTGACTGTTGTCTGCAATTGGCTGTTACAGTTTTGCATGTGTTCCTGATTGAATATTATCTAGACTAGATGGATGACTACAATGAAGTTCTGTTACCAAAATTAGAACTATATAATTTCAGCCAAATTAGAACTCTATAATTTGAATGCCAATAGAATATAGTACATCAATAAGATATAGATAGTGAGATTTAGCTGCTCTGCTCGAGTGCTGAGTTATATGGACAGAGAATCTTCTGAAGTGAACTGCCAAAAATAGAAAATCTTCTGAAGTGAACTGCCAAAAACAGAAATATAGAGGGTGAATTTTTCAGTGTCTCCTGGTCTCCCCCACCCATGTGCGCTCACCAGCGCGAGTATAAACTAGAAAGTTGACAGCGACACCGAATAGGCCACAAAATGCAAATAGCGGGTTCGTCGGACTGTTCACTGCATAAGTATCGGTAATAGTTTGCTAATTAGCGGCGTCGCCACTGGCTTGCGGAGCTTAACCAGCATACGATGGTAACAAGCCAACAAGTATTTTGACAAAACGGCAGGGGAGCCCCCTACCTCTATTTTTTCTTTATATATATATATATATATATATAATAGGTTCAGAGGGAAAACACCTCCAACATGCCTGTACATGTACTATATATGATTCAAATTGTTGCCTCACAGCACGGCGAGTGGTGTCTTCCTTTTCTCTTGAAGATCCCCATCCAGCGAGCTGGCAACCATGAGGTACGCCATATGCATCTCTGATAGCACGCATCTGGACAGCAGCATCTCGCATCGCCATTGGCACTCTTGGCTGCTGCTTTGAGCAGGAGACGCCGAGCCAGATCACTGAAACCAAGCACACCTCGCTCCGGCTTCTCATGGCAGCATCAGCAGGATTTTTTTTTTCCTTCGCTTCTTTTTTTTAGATCAAAGGCATTCACCCAGCTTTATTGAAAGTGTAACGAACGCCAACGATCCGGTACTGGGGTTACCAGTTTTACAGAATAGGACCAAAAGAAACTACGGGAGTTTTACATCCATCGACTCCCCCTTCACCACTAACTCAACCATTCAGATAACAACTAGAAACTCGTGACAAACTGACAACTCTACTGATACAAATCATAAAGCATTCAACTACAACGAAAAAGATAACGCGAATAGCCATAATCAGTATGCGCTCGTCGCCATCACATTTATCATCTCGTCCGCCATGGGGCTAAGCTTGGCTTTCACCAGACGGTGCCAGGTCTTGATTAGCATCAGAGTCTTGCGTATGATCGCCGCCGGGGATGACATCACTTTCTTGTTGAACACTACGTCATTCCTGGTCTTCCAAATAGTCCATAATGCAGCTGCACATATGAGTCCTTCACTTCTTGATGCAGCCAGATTGCTGGGTTGGATAGCTCCAAGGCTCCGTTGGGGAGAGCGGCCTCGGCGAACTTTTGAAAGTCCAATGAGTTTTCGAACATGTGTTATGAAGAATTCTAGAACTGAAGCTTCATATACATCTTCAGTTATTTCAGGTAAGTGATCACCTGCAGGCATCATTTCTTGTCCTACGTATTCACTATTGTGGAAAATCATTGTGAACTATTGCTACTCCTCCATGCTCCACCAAATGAGATCTGGCAAATTTAAGATACAAACCTCTAATAGCATGCATTTCAATAGCTGCATCCTGTATTGGGATCCGTTCTCTAGGCTGCTTCTTGGAGCAGGATATTCCAAGAGCAACAACAGAAACCAAGCAATTCTGAATTCTGCTTCTTGTAGTTCTGTTGTTAGCATCTATGTGCATCCAGATTGTCGGATCAACAATCTCCCATATTCTCTGGAAGAGCATTCTCTGAAAACTTGCGCAAATCCAATGAATCACTGAACATCTGATCTGTTGGGCTCCTTCCTGTGAACATCTCAAGCAGTAATATACCGAGGCTATAAACATCACCTTGTGTTGAGACAAAGGAACCTTCACCATACTCTATGAATGTGTAAAGGACAAAAGTCAGCGTGTTATGTTCATAAAAGAACCGGGGATAATGCATAAATGCCAAAAATAAGTATATCAATTACCTGGAGCAATATAACCAATAATGGTGCCTCTTATTCCAGTTGTGCTAGTTGAATTTTGTTGGGTTCTATTAGCACTTTGTGGAAGTATTCTTGATATGCCAAAGTCTCCAACTCGGGCACTCATGTCTTCTGCAAGAAGGATGTTGCTTGGCTTGAGATCACAATGAATGATTGATGGCTAGCAGTGATTGTGAAGATAGTCCAAAGCATCCAAGATATTGACAGCATTGTGTAGCCTTTGTTCAAGGCTAAGAGTATTTTTCTGAGCAAATGTGCCAGATTCTGGGTGAAGCAAACCCTTCAGGTTACCATTTGGCATGAACTCAAAAACTAGTGCCTTGAACTCTTCGCCCTGGTGAGTGATGCTTGAGCAGCAAGTGATGATCTTTATAAGACAACGGTGACACACCCTTTGCAGTGCCTCACATTCAGCCACAAAACTTCTAGCAGTCCTAGACTGTTTTGTGTTAAACACCTTTACAGCTACTGTAGTGCCCTGATCACGTAAAGTACATTTATAAACCATGCCATAGCTTCCTTGTCCAACCAAATTGGCCTTGGAAAATCCATTTGTCCCATTTGACAATGCATGGTAAGAAACTCTTTCATACTGTTCATCGGTTGTGAATATGATTTGGCTTTTTTGCCTTTCTCTGAGCTTCTTATTGATCAACTGAATAAGAGAAACTACTGAATCTGAGAATACAAGTGCACTGAATGATATTAGGGTAATTGTAAGGGATTTTGACAAATGCCTTTTCTTCTTTTCTGAAGCAAACATGTAGCATGGAGGTAAATGAAGCTGAGGTGTTCCGCCACAAAGCTTATCGTTCCCATCAATGGACAGGTTCATTTCATTTCCAAAAACACCCCCTTTTGGTACTTCACCTTGCAAATTATTGAAGGACACATCCAATTTTGACAATGATGTCAAATTCTGAAGACATTCAGGGATCAAATCTGAAGTTGTTGTGTGCTAGATACAATTCTTGTAGGCCGCCAATACTACAAAGGGCATCAGGAATACTCCCGGAGATCTTGTTCATGGTCACGTTGAGTACACCAAGGCCTTTTAAATTCTCCAAAGATTGAGGAAGAGTGCCCTCAAATGAATTCTGGTCCAGCAATAACCATTCCAATGATTTGCAGTTTTCAATACTATGAGGTATGTTGCCAGACAACTGGTTTTCTGACAGATAGAGGCCGTTAAGGTTTGCCAGGCTACCAACTTCAGTAGGAAGTTGCCCAGACAATGAATTGTATGATAAATCTAAGTAGACAGAGAGTGCAGGAAGTTCAAAGACCTCTCTGGGGATTGAACCATTGAGTCGGTTCGTTGTGAGATCAAGGCGAAACAGGTTCTTTAAGTTTCCCAAGCATGACGGAATTGGCCCTTCCAAGTAGCTATTGTATAGAAGAAGCTCAGTCAGCCGTGTAAGATTTCCTAGTGATGAAGGTATGAGGCCTGACAACCTAGTGTTGTGAAGGCGTAACTAACTCATGTTCTGTAGCTGACCAATGCTCTCTGGAATCACTCCGGATATGGGAGTATTCGTCACCACAAGAATTTCCAGACCAACCAGATTACTTATGTTGGATGGAATAAACCCTGAAATGCTATTGCCTCCTAAGTCCTAAACCAAGAATTTGGAGAGTCGCTGATAGATTTGCAATTGAACTAGGAAGTTTTCCACTGAAGGAGTTATCATGAATATCCAGCAGTTGAAGCTGGCTGCAGTTTGCCAGTGCAGTGATGAATTCCCACCGCTTACTATCATTCGTTTCTAGTTTATTGTGAGACAAATCGAGACGAACGAGACCTTTCAATATCCCCAGGGATTGTGGAAGCACACCTGAGAGGCTGTTGGCGTGGAGAGAAAGGATGCGTAGGCCTCCAATGCTGCCGATTTCATGTGGTATGGTCTCCTCGAGCTGGTTTTCACCTAGATCAAGAAAGTACAGAGATGACATGTTGGCTAGTGATACTGGGATACCGCCTGTCAAGATGTTGTTTGCCTATGAGAGCCACTGAAGGTCTGTGAGTTCGCGGCCAAGCTCAACAGGGACACGACCATGGAATTGGTTGTGGCCGAGTCTCAAGGACAGTAAAGTTAGGTTGGCAGGTAGTTCTCCGTTGAACTCGTTGTAGCTCAGATCAAGCGTCTGCAAGCGTACGAGGTGGCCGATGCTTGCAGGGATGTTCCCCTGAAACCAATTGGAGCTCAGGTTCAGCACTCGCAGGAAAGTGAGGTTCCCAATGGCCGGGGACAAGGTGCCAGTGAGCCCATATGAGGGCAGGCTTAGCGCCACCACTCGCCGATGCCTAGCACCGCACCTGACCCCCTGCCAGCTACAGAAGCCGCCAACGCTGCTGCTGTTCCAGGAAGCAAGCTGGTCGCCGTGCCCGCGGGCTCCGCTCGGCCTTGAACGCCAGCAGTGCAGCCCCGTCGCCGGCTTTTGCGGCGGACACGAGCGTCGAGAAGGACGCGGAGGCGGATAGTAACAGCGGCAACAGCACTAAGGTTGCGGTTGGGGAGCGTGTTGCCATTAATGATGAAAACGGAAAGGAAATATCCCGAATCGAATCGCATCGTTTTGTACATTTGACATGAGCGAATTCATATTTTTGGACAAAATACGGAATACTAAATTCGAATTCGAAATTCAGAACACCAAATTCAAAATCGGATCGAATTCGGTTTAGGCTTTTTTCGACCGATTTCTACTTTTCTACTTTTAATTCAGAATATCCCGAATTCGAAATTCGGTTTAAACCAAATTTAGCTCACTATAAGTCCAACCTTAAAAAAATTATATCTTTTTCATACGACCTCGGATGAAGATGATTTTTATATGAAAAATGTAGCTCTCAACGAGATCTACAACTTTCTAGTTCTTAGTTTTTTCATTTGATGTCTTGAAGTTGTTAAAAAAAATTAAACAAAGTCAGCGATATATTAATCGCGTACAAGCGCTTGTTGCCTTAAAAAATCATATCTTCCTTACGTCGTGTCGAATGGAGATATTTTTTAAGAAAGTTATAGGGCTTGTTAATTATTATGTACTTGTTAATTGTTATGCACTTGGTCCTACGGGTCAATATTCTGTATTGATTTTTCGTATACCGACCGTGTTCGACATAATTCTGCTCGAATTAGTTCGTTTTCGAAATTTTTGATATGCCTTAAGTTCGTGTTCGTTTTCATGTCCGGCTTTACCGCTTTCGTTTTCGTATTCAAAATTCGACTGTTTCCGACCGTTTTCATCCCTAGTTACCATGCCGACTGCTCTGCGCTGCTTCTTGAATCCTGAGGGTAGATGCCGATGGGTAGTGATGAGTTTGGTCAGTTTTGGTGCTGGCTGATCCCACTTATAGTTACTTCCGTGAAGTGACGGGCCATTTGGCAGGACGGAGGAATTAGGCGCGCTACAGCCGGCAGACGGGTAGGGTGGACGCCGTATTTGCCCCGGCTGCAGTCCCTCATTTTCCCATTGGCTCAGCAGCAGAAACAAGGTGGTGTACTTACTTGTACTGTATAAACTACGGCCAAATCCATCGCTTGACCTTATATATAGAAAAAGTTCATCGCTTGAAACACATCACATGGCTACGAGAGATTTCTTGTCGTCGAGTCATTGAGCATGATTTTAGAAAACGCACGAAAACTGGTATCCTGTGCCCATCCGAATAAACTGCTTTTATCATGTGTTCGCGGTGTGTGCGCAAACCTACGACAGCGACGACGAACGAGGAAGCGATCGCACCTAACCAGATGTTGTCGGCCAAGTCACACAACGGCACAAGTGGGTTCGGAAGTCAAGAAGTAGCATGCTGGTTGCTGCCAATGATCTAATAAGTCAGCACACGTCAGCGTCGTGATGTCCCTTGAAGAAGGCAATGAGTAAAACTACATGATACATTATATTGCTCAATAGTTAAGCTCCTTGTATTAATAGTAGAGAAAATTTAAGAAATATATTACTACTAAGAAAATGACTTTTTGTAGTTTGGTGATCCACGGCCTGCAAGATTTTGTGTTAGTCTTTAACCTCTATTTCATATTTTTGAGTTAAAACAAAATTTCTAATAGTAAACCAGATTTTAGTATTTTTAAGTACTCATTCGTTCCAAATTATAAGTCATTCTAACTTTTTTGGAAGAGTCAAAACATCTCAAGTTTGACCAAAATTATAAAAAGAATTATAAAGATTTATGACATCAAATAGGATATGTTATGAAAATACAATTAATGATTCATTTAATACTACTTATTTAATATCATAAATCTTATTATTTTAGTCAAACTTGAGATGCTCTGACTCTGCAACAAAGTTGGAATGATTTATAATTTGGCACGGAGGGAGTATAATTTATTCAAGAAAAATATTTGGATAGTTTTTTAATATTATTTCAACAAAATTTTTATGAGCATGATTTCCGATTTCTTCTGAGTTGAAACAAATTTTCTAATATGAAACTAGATTTTAGTATTTTTAAATACATACTTATTCAAGAAAATTATTTGTATAGGTTTGAGTTGAAACAAATTTTCTAATATGAAACCAGATTTTAGTATTTTTAAATACATACTTATTCAAGAAAATTATTTGAATAGGTTTGAGTTGAGACAAATTTTCTAATAAGAATCCATATTTTAGTATTTTTAAATACATACTGTCACACCTAATTTTAAGGATAAAATAAGATACATAATCTTATGTGAGCCCAGAGATCAGTCACACATAAACCAACAAATTAAAGATAGTATCATCACAAGTGTTTAGTACATCACATATAATAAGACAGAGTTTTCGCATAAATACAACAAAAGTATAAAAGAAAAAATCTCTCGCAGAAGCTCCATATCACAGGGACGTCAACTAATTGACCATAAGTCTAGTAATCCTTAAAAAAGTCGTCATTATCATAGCCATCTGTTACCCATCCGAAATTTTTATCCAAATAATAAAAATAAACAAGCGTAAGTACGTGTCATACTCAACAAGTGTAACATGGGGTTCATGAGGCTTAAAAGGGCTTGACACGGGTTTAACAATATTTAGCTTTTAGTTGTCACAATTTTAGCATAAGAGTAGCAACAAGTTATCATAATCCCAATTAAAACACATGATCAATATAAACATAAATAATAAATAGTATAAACGGATAATTAATAGTGACCATCTATTCCATAAGGGTCAAAGGCCGCTCGTGACCGTGAGCACGACTGATATATCAGTTTTACACTCTATAGAGGTTATACACTTTACTATAAGTCGTGATACCCATATGCCCGGATTAATTACTCCCAAAACACTTTCAAGGTGAGTAGGCATGGTTCACTATGAAGTCTTTTAAAGGTTTATCTAATAAATTAGGACCATTAGATTCACTCGACAAATAGATATAGGAACCCCCTGTCGGATGGCACAATTCTATCACGACTATACACATAAGAGTAGAGGCTGTCCTACACCGATTCGACAAGCTATTCTTACGTCATAAAGGTAACCTCTAACAAGCTAGAAAAGGTCCTCATACTGAGCTAAAGCCAGAGCCATGTAGCCCTCATAGCTGTAATGTAAGTCATGGATGTTCGTTTATAGATAAGTCATTAGAGAGAGAAATCTAAAGCATTTAGAAAGTAGCTAAATACTCTAGCCCCATGTTTCCAAGTTACTAAAAAGTCATGTTTTAATGTTTATTGCATATACCATTAGTCAAGTTACAAGATCATGATTTAATTGAGCACTAGCAAAGCTACCCAATGCATATCCCATAGGAAACAAGGTATAAGTTCAATTCTAGAAAATCCTTATCAAGGTGACACATGCAATATAAATTAAATGTATTAAAGTTGATAGAAAACAAGGATGATCCTATACTATACTTGTCTTGAACAAAGTGTTCCTGCTGATCCTGCTCGTTAAAGTAGTACTCTTGATCATCCACGAATGGTTCACCGTCTATACTCGATAATCACAGCAACATACAAGCATCCAGAAGAAATCATGCATATCAAACAAAGGCTATAAATTAGAATAGTACACCAATCAGCATAAAATTATGATGAAAAGTTTTTTAAAATAAATCTACATCTTGCTACGAACACATAGACTCGAAGATCACGAAAATCAGAGCTAAAACGAAGAAGTTATGAATTAAACAAGATTTCCTTTAGTAAAATAATAGATTAAATCTAACGTAAATCAAATTTTAAAAGTTGAAAACATACCTAATAGTAGTACGAACATGTAGATTATGCAATTACAAATCTAACGCAACTTGAACGGATCAAATCGAAGTTAAAACGAAGATTTTATGGCCTAAATAAGACTAGTGGCAAAACTGTAAATAGATGAAAGCGTATTTTAGATCTAACCGAAGAAACTATATTTTCTAAAAAAGAAAACGTATTCTAGGAATACACTTTGCACCGCGAGTTTGAACTTAGAAAATCGCAGGGCTCTTTTGCAAAACGGCCAGCCGAATTGGTATTACGTGATATCGACCGTTGGATCTAAGATCGACGACGCAGATCAGACGAGAGGGGGAGAGAGACGCCGGCGTGGTCGATGGCGAGCTCCGACGGTGGCACACGTTGAACACGGCCTATGGGCTATGATTGAACAAACTGTGGGCACCGGGAGAAAGAGAAAGAAACTGTGAACTCACCAAGGCAGTTTATCATGGTGCGGAGCGAACAAAGGCAGCGCGGTGCTCAGCGGGGCGGCAGCTCGACTGCGGTGCTAGGGTTTCATGGCGGCATGACGATGTGGGATGAAACAAAGCTTGCTCTAGGGTTGGTGGGAGGCGGCACGGTGCAGCTGCTATTCATGGACGGGGAAGACTTGGGGCACACGCCGAACGGAGTCGTGGCGGCTACGGAGTCGAGGCGGCGAAGTTCGACGCGGGTACGATTCCAGGTTGAAGAGAACACTGACATACGGGACCCACCGGTCAGCGAGAC